CGATAGTCTGGAGGCAAAATGAGCCTGGCAGGGACCTGTGAGCAGTTGAAATGGGAGGAGGCCTGAGGCAGGAAGTGCAGTGAAGCCATTGCAAATCCAGGCAGGTAGAAAGTGGTGTGGCCAAGGAAAGAGCCTGCCTACGAGGTATCGAGGAGGGAACAGAAAGCAGAAAGCAACTCCATGCGGTGATGTGTGAGATACGGAGTCAAGATGCCTTGGTGATTGCAAGCCGGGCAGACTACGAGAATGGTAGTAGACCATCAAAAGTCAGGAACTGGAGCTGGTTCGAGGATGTAGGAGTGAGATGAGGGATGGTTTTGGTTTTTAAACAAGTTTAATTTTATGGAACTGTGGGATATCAGTGGAGATACTGAATATGTGCCTCTGGGTTGGATGATGGGCAGGGTTGGAAATTTAGATTTTGGAGAGATCAGCAGACGGATGAAAACAAGCCTGTCGTGTGTTGTGGTTGTAACTGCTGGGTGTGATTTTAACACTGCACCATTGTTGTCAACGCACAGATGCAGTTGGCAGGCATTTTGATCATTTGTAATTTCAGAGTAGTCAGAAACAGGCACACGTACCTACTTACTAATATGTTAAGTGTGTGTATTTGTACATCCACTCTGAAAGTCAGGTGTAAGCCATGGCTGAACACACCGATTTGGGAGTTGAATCACAGCTTAACTAACCTCTCAGTGGAGGAAGGTTTTGAAGGAAGTGAGAGCTTGGGGGCTATTTCAGTACTGAAATACCGATTTATGAAGTCAGAAGGGAGAAAATATCCCCAGCATAAATTTGTGTGAGAGCAGCTTCTTTGTTTTGTTCTCACAATGATTTCTTTTTCTTTACCCCAACAAGCAGCTGAGAAGATGAGAAACCAGACACGAAGGCCCAAGGCTGCTTGGGTGATGAGCAGTTCACCCAGCTGGTCCCCTGCCTTCCTTAGTGTCCTCTCCCCAGCCTCCGTGGTGGAGGGAGCCAGTGTTGGTGCCCAGGTGCTGACGTCTTGTCTTTTCTTTCTCCGATGAAGGACCCAAAGCAGCAGAAGATCTATGACCTGTTCCAGAAGTCCTTTGAGGAGGACGGCAGTGACGCGGCGCTCCTGGAGGCAGCGGAGTCCTTCGACCCAGGAAGTGCCTCCGGGGCTGGTTCCCGGGACACGGGAGACACGCCAGATGAAAGCACACTGCTGGGCAGTCCACTGAAGAAAAAGAGATTTGAATTTTTTGATAACTGGGACAGCTTTACCTCTCCTCTGTAGAAGGGGCCAAAAAAGCATGAAAAATCATGGGATTCATTAAAGTAAAATAAAATAAGGCATTTTGTTTCTAAAGCCCGTGCTCCCCCCGTCATTAGCACAGCACTGGTCTCTGTCTTCAAGCCCAGGAGGTGACCAGGCCCAGGGTCAGCATTTCCTTTCCCCTCTCATGTGTGGGTTTGCTCGGGTCTCAGTTAACCTCAGCTTTCCCGGCTGAGGAACAGAGGCAGTGGATTGTAGTAGTGGTGGCTCGTGTTCTTGCGTTAATGAGATGTTTCCTACACAGTCCCCCAAATCTGGAGTTTTCAAATGTAGTGATTCAACAGAGCACCTGGTATGTGCCAGGCACTGTTCTAGGTGCTGGCAGTAATTCACTGAACAAAAGAGGAAAAGTGCAGGCCTTTGCCGAGTTTATCATATAACAGAAGAGGCAATAGTTACATGTTCTATGAAGAAAAAGTAAGTAAAGGGTTTAGAGCAGGGGTTGACAAGCTTTTTCTATAAATAACCAGATAATAATTTTGAGTCTACAGGCCAGGATGTCTCTGTCAGAACTACTCACCTCTGCTCCTGTCATGTGAAATCAACCATAGGTAATCCAGAAACAAATGATTGCTCTTTTCCAGTAAAATTCTGTTATGGACACTGAATTTTGAATTTCATATAATTTTCATATGTCACAAATTACTATTCTTTTACTTTCAACCATTGAAAAATGTGAAAACTGTACTTGGCTCACAGGCCATACAAAAGCAGGCAGTGGGCAGAGTTTGGCCCACAGACCATGGTTTGCTAACCCCTGGTTCAGAGCAGCGCTGCCCGACAGAAATACAACGCAGGGCAGATAGGGGATTTCAGTTTTCTAAAGAGCACTTTAAAAAATAAAGGACCAAATTAGTAACATTTTTTGTAACCCAATACATTCAAACTACTGTCATTTCAACATAATCACTGTTAAAAATTACTGAGAAACTTCTCATTTGTTTTTTCGTACCAAACCTCCAAAATCCAGTGTGTATTTGACAGTAACCATACATCAACAGCCTGAATTTGCCATGTTTCAGGTGTCACGGCTGGTGGCTCCTGTGCTGGACAGCGCACCTTTAGAGAGGGGTGAGGGGAGGGGAGTGCCAAGTGGGAAAAGTAACAGATGATGATGTCGAAGAGAGAGCCGGGCCGGATGTCCTAGGTCATGGTAAGGAAACATTTCATTTTGAATGTGAATGGAAGCACTGACTGGTTTTGAGCAGATCGCCTGGTTTGTGTGTAGAAAAGAGATCAGAAAGGATGAACGGAGGAAGGGGTTGGGTAGAAGAGGCTACCGAGCTCACAGCTGACTTTGGGGGTGGTGCTGGGGTGTGGTCGAGCTGAGGAGCAGTGTGAAGGTGGTGAGAATCAGTTGGAATCTGGACATATTTTGGGTGTAAATCTGAAAGAATTTGCAGATGGATTGACCGTTTGCATTTCAGGAAGAGTGGTCAATACTGAGACCTGGGGTGTTGCCTCAGCAAAGTGTTAGTGGTCTTAACCATTTAGAGATAGATTTAAAAAAAAAGATGGGGGAGGAGAGATTGGGGGCCAGGGTGAAATCAAGGGTTTGGTTTTGGACTTGTTGAGTCTGAGACAGCTGTTAGACAATCTGGCAGACCTGGAGACCCCCCTGCCCAGCGCCCACTTTGAGAAGGGACTTGCTGCCCAGCTGCAGGAGTGCAGCTGGCAAACAGTCTCCACCTGACCACAACTTCCATTTAGTCCCAGACCGCAGGAAACCATTTTGTCTGAGGTTACGCCCTTCCTGGGGCAGCGTGCATCGGTGGCTGAGCAAGGTGGGCGCGAAGGCCGGGCAGCTTGGCCTGGTGGGCACCCCCTCTGATGGGCAGTACCCCCACAAGTCTCCCTACTGCCCACTGGGTTGTCAGAGGCGATTTCAGGCTTGTATCCCAGAGGGAGGTCCCTCTGCCCCGCCTTCCTTCCTCGCCCTTCCTTTCACAGGAAAGGCTCTCTAATGAACATCTTGCACCCCAAACTCATCTCAGTGTATTTCTGGAAAACCTAACCTGTGGCAAGGTCCAAGCGGAGATGCTCCGTAGGCAGTAGGGTGTCGGAGTCTTCTGACTCAGGCTGCACCAGATGTAAATGGTGCTTGTAGCCCCAGGGTGGATGAGATCATCCAGGGGCCTGATGGCATCAGGAGAAAACTGGCTCTGACTGACCCCTATGCACCCAACATCTAGGGTTGGGAAGAGGAGAAGGAGACCCACGTGAGTGTGCAGGAAGGGGATTTTTTTTTTAAGTGTTTCAAGAACAAAGGAGTTGCTGCTCTCATTGGTATTGTAGGCAGCCAGGGGCCAGGTGTAATTGAGGGCTTAGAGTCAGCCCAGTTTCCTCGGCAGCAGTGAACACCACGTTGTGCTGGTGGATGGTGTGTGGATTGTTTGTTAGACCAGAATGGTTTTCACTTTTGCTCTGTGGACTACGTGCGGGGGGCTGAGCACTTTAATCTATTGACGCAGTGAACCCAGTCTCGGAAGAAGGTAGTTATATTTTCCTTGTGCAGGTACAGAAACTGTGCCCAGGGCGTCTCAGCTGGGAAGAGGCAGAGCAGGACCTGCAGCCAGGAAGAAGAAAGGTTCTGGACCACAGTCAAATCCTGAGAAAGTCTCAGAAAGAAGCAGCTCTTCCTGGCCGGCCCCAGTGCCTCATCACAGCCCCTGCGCTACACACTCACATCACACAGCTTGACGTACGTTGAGAGGCCCTGTCCCCTGAGTCTGCGGACATCCAGACTACTGCCCAGAGATGCTGCCACCTGCCTGCTGCTCGCTCCACCCTCATCAGGGTCTCCAGAGAATGTGAGTACTGCTTTTCCATGGGCCCCACTGGCGTTTGGTCAAGTTCTTTAATTGCTTAGGCTCTCATTTCTGACTTCTGTTAATAGTCCCTCCTTACTCCAGGGATGTGGCCAGGATACAAGGGGTATGCTTCAAAGTAGAAGTGAATGCCTTGGTGATTTTGAAATATACAGTGTTGCTTAGAAGAATCACTTCTAAATTAAATTAACAGATCCTGGCTGCATTCACCCAGGGCCTCCCACACAGAGCAGCCCTTGACATACTGCAAGGTGTCAGGTCAGTGTCTGCCAGTGGGAGGCTGCTTGTGTTTGAAACCACTATTCCTTTGTGGTCTTAGTTACTTTGTTGAACTTCCACCTGAGGCCTCTAGTTAAACCTCAGTTTTGCCTACACTCACTCTCTCTCTTTTTCAATCTGAGATGTCCCTGAGGTCCTCCAAAGCAAATTTTATTTAGACCATGTAGCCTACATACTTTAAGTTGTACCTTCCCAAATGTACCTCTGAAATTTGTTGAGAGCTTTCCAGCCACTTCTGCATGATTCAGTAAACGACACTTGGACTTGTTTAGAGACTGAATACCTCTGGGTTTAAGAAAGGATTTCCACACTCCCTCCTTTCCCTCATGGACTCTGCACCTCAGTTCAGACACACTCCCCCCCCCTCCTCATCCATCGTGTTTTCTGGAAATGTCAGTTGGAATGAAGCAAATCTGGTTGCATCTCATTCCACTCCTGTCCCTGCCATCAACTGTCCCCTTAAAAGGTTTTACTAAATTAGGCCCCTACCGGCTCACTGGAGCTATCTTTGCCTCCCCTCCCCAGGTCATTAAGTGGAGTCTCGGTCCCTGAATGGCCCTGGTTAACTTCTGCCTTGAGGGCCGGCGTCAGGAAGACTCCAAGAGGCAGTAAGGAATCCCGTTAGCCTTGATCCACTTGTGCTTGCGTGAATCATGTCTCTTCCTTTCTGGCTTCCCACCAGCCTTTTTCTAGGTCAGAGGGAGAGCTGAGAAATAGGGCCGGAGGTGCTGTCCCCTCACTGCCGGTTCTTAGGTTTTCCCTGATTTGTGCCTTCTTGTCTATTGGAAACTTGATGTTTTCTGAAGCTCTTTTTTAAGTGAAATTTAAACTGTGAAGGGGATGAAAAGAAGTCCAACCTTATTTCTTTCCCCTATCCTCTCACTCCCTACAAAGTTAAGGATCACAAGATTAAAAAAAAATAAAGCTTAGAAGGTTAAAGGGGATTTCCTGGCGCAACCTCTCATACCTATGTTTTATTTTGGTTTTGTGTTTTCCGAGGAGAGGGGTGGTCTCAGCAAAGAAAATGGATTCCTAATCACAGCAGAAAGTATGAAGAAGCCTGTGAGTCACAGTTTTTTGCTCATTATGACAGCCAACAGTTATCTGGTTTTGCAAAACCCTCTACCCACATCCCACACCCCCAACCCATTCAGCAAATACATTGAGTACTAGGCATTCTTCCTCTCTTTTTACCACCTCTTCGGGAGGGTGAAATATAACACACAAAAGAGTTCATCAAACAAATTTACAGCTTAACAAAATGCTATAAAATAAACACTGTGTAACCATGACCCCAAGGTTATGAATATAATATGTTCCAGAAGCTTTATTGTTTTGTGTTTAACACTGAGATCTACAATCCACCTGGAGTTGATTTTTGTACATGGGGGAGATAAGGTCAACGTTTATTTTTTCCCATATGAATACGTAGTTATCTCAGCACCACTTACTGAAAAGATTGTCCCTTCCTCCGCTGCTCTATTCACTGCTATAAATTCTATGTAAAAATCAACGAATCTGGAAATGCATAAACTTAAAAAAATGAAAGTCCTACATCCTCATCCACCCTACCCCTGGAGGTGATAACTAATACAAACAATTTGAGATGAAGCCGTTGGTAATTTATTTGCTATGCATACAAACCTGTGTAATTAAACATACATAGAATTTGTTCTTATAAAAATTGTATCAAACTTTTCATACTGACAATGGCTAATTTTACATATTTGGTCATTGTTTTATATTTGTCCCTCTGTGAGCTGGCCTTGAGACGAGTTAGGGCCGTGGGACCCAAGGCCATGGCCAGAGCCTTGAGATAAGTTAAAGCTGTGGGACCCAAGGCCACGACTACA